CGGGCGTGAATTTTAAATCATCGTCGTTAAATGTATTTGGAAATTTATCGCTCCGCTTTGGGATTTACTGCCATCAATTTTTCATCGAACCGAGCTACATTTAACGAGGAAAATCACTGTATTTAGATAGCTCGAAAGATTGAGATTCCACGAATTTAATTCTACAAACGGCTGAAATCAATTACTCACCATTGAATATACATCTCTATATTTTCGTCGCGCAAGTATTATATTATAGAATGAAAATCACTGGGAAATTATTCACTTAAATATCCCCCTCCACCTCGAATTTTATCGTCGAATTCTTCGAATTCTAAATTTTTCACGAACCTCCACATTCAATTTTCCCTCGCGAAACCAAACCTCTAATTACCCCTCGTTTTCCGCCCCGTCTCCGACCGTATATGCATATCTATTCTACTCAGCATTGTACCACTGACAAGGGGCACGAGTTACGCGCGCGCGTAACACGACAGTTAAAGGCATCCCACGCCAGAATTTCACCGATCCTGCGATGTCGCCATTGCTCACCCCGTCTGATATCTCCCTTCCCTTCATTCCCCCCACCCCTACCAATAATCCTCGAAAATTCCGTGAAACGACCTTCCTTACACGCCCCGAATTACAATTCTTACAATACCCCACCACGTTAACGTGCAATATGCCGAAAGTACATCGAAAGATATATAGAAGAAAAGAGAGAGAGGAGATAAAATAAAATGGAAAAATCCTCGGATAAAGGATATAAGTCGCGCTAGATCCAGGGGTCGATATTCAAATTCCACGATATCAAAGGACAAGAAAGGAATTCGTCTCCCGCGGGATGCCTCGTTTTTTCCCTCCCCCACCCCAAAGACGACGCGTTATTACGAACAGATCGATCGGTATTAAACGTTGTTCACAACAGCGTCTAGGAAGAGAAACGAGTTCCCATAATGCACGCCGTTCAATATGGCGGGCCTGCATCGCACACGCACGTCTATCCCGTCGATTTGGTTCGAGACCCGGAATGATCGTCGTCCTCTCTCTCTCTCTCTCTCTCTCTCTTCGTAATATCTTCCTCTCATTGGAACCCGTGTACTCGGCGTAAATGCAAACGTACGCGCATCCAACGATGCGGATCGCATTGGCGGCGCAGTCATCTTTCATCCTCGACTTCCGACGAGATGAGCCCCTCGTACGTGTCCCTCGCGTTCTACCCTACCTTGGTACGCGGATGCACCAATGACGAATAGGTCGAGGCTGTTCCCTGATTACGTACTCCCCCCCTCCAATCCCCCCTCTCGGTGGGTAGAGAATTACACGGAGAGGGATGGGCGATC